GGACCAGGAATCGGAGCCACTCCTGGCTGTATGGGGAGCGCCCGCCGCGGTCCAAATCAGCCACGGGCACGGGGCGCAAGGATCCAGAATAGCTCAGACCGCGCCAGGCCAGGGTTAAATCCTGGGCCGAGGAGACGGAACAGGCGTGCCCAGAGTCCGGGGGATGCAGGGGCCCACTGCCTCAAGGGCTCCTCTGAAGGGCCGGCTTCGAGCGTCGGCTGCGCCGACGAGGGGGGGCAGGAAGAGGTGGGTCAACGCATCGTGGTCCGCGGCATGTGCGCGACGAGGGGCGGCCAGTGGACGAGTGGAAAGAAGACAAAGGGACCGCGAAATCTGGGAGACCTCACGGCCACGGCCATGTTGTCCACACACACGCAATCCTCAACCACCTCCTGGACGCCCCCAATTGACTGTATACACCCACGCTGATGCTGGCTGGGCCCATCCTGGGACCGGGATCGTAACTGGTCCCAGGACCGACCCGGCCCGGCCAAGACCAAATCGTGACCGCTCCCCTCCGAACGCTGCGATTCCATGTATAGATTCTGCACGAACGCTCATCCTAAAATGTGTAATATAGCATGCCCGCCAGACCTGGAATCCCCACTCCTTATCCCTCTCAAGGAAACATCATGCGGTGCACGTGCGTTGATCTGGGAATCGCGTTCTCTAAAGATCCACTGAAACAAATACCACTCGGGGCGCACGCGCGCTCCGCCGCGCGTGCATGTCAAGGCCACCGTCGTCATCATCGTCATCATCGTCATCTTCGATATCGTCGCCCTCGTCAAGCTTCTGCGCGCACGCTTCCTGAACATCCACACCAGCACCATCGTCATCATCGCCGGCATCATCATTGTCATGGTGGGTGTCATCACCATCAGCTTCTTCACCGTCAGCATCGCCATCGTCGACATCTCCCCCACCGTTGCCGTCGTCGTCGCCTCAAAATACACGAGCATTGGGCGTGGCCACGCGTGGAAATTGCTCGGCGGGTGCACTGCATCACCACACAGACTGCACCACACAAATTGCAGCGCACCGCCCGCACCGTGCACAGACTGCACATCCAGAGGCTGCCCATCTTAAGCGCAGGACTCCGCCGCTTGCGACCCCGCTGCTTTAGGAGAGCATCCAGCCCTGGATACCAACGGTATCTCTTCCTCCCCTAACTTCAATTATCAGGGCGATTTCCGCGCGTATTCCGCGCGTATTTCCTCGCAGAATGTTTCAGCATTCCGCGCGTATTTCCTGGATCGGCGCTGAACCCCCCTCCCCAGAGCACGGAGCGCGCCAGGGGCGGCGCCGTAGGCGCCTGAAAGCAGATGGGAAAAGGAAGGGAGGCATCCATTTACCAGAGAAAGGCACCATCGACTACATGTCGCTATCCGTGCCTGGCCCTGGCAGGGCGCGTAAAGCCTTGAAGGCTATGAGAAACCCAAAGAGAACGGGGAAGACGAGGAAAGAGACATCACGCCGCCAGGGGACCCAGCGCCGATCCAAGAAATCCGCGCCGAATTCGACCTTACTCCCCGAACTTCATTCTCAACCAACTTGTGTGGGGGTTTTCGATTTGGATACAGCACTGTGGTATCCACTCCTTCTCCGTTTCCTTTTCCTCCCCCCTCCTCCTGCGCTGCTCCGAAGGTTGCTGCGAACTGCGCAACTGTCGCCACTCGAAGTGTGAAACTGTCGCCACTTCGTGGGATCCTGGGGGGGTCCACTAGAGTAACGTCCTACGCACATCAGAATGAGACCTCGCCGTCCCTGGGGGCTGCCGAACTGCGAAACTGTCGCCACGTTGGAGGGCTGCTGGGGGATCCAGCACAGAGACGTTTTACACACATCAGAATGAAACCTCGCCGTCCCCAGGGGCTGCGAACTGCGAGGCAGTCGCCACTTTCGAGGGCTGCTGGGGGGTTCAGCATAGTGACGTCCTGCGCAAATCAGAATTCAAACTCGCCGTCCCTGGGGGGGGCTGGGAACTGCGGAACTGTAGCCACTTTCGAAGATGCCGGGGGGTGCCCAGCATAGTCACGTCCTACGCATATCAGAATGAGAACCGCCGTCCCTGGGGGCTGCGCAAAACCGTTGCCACTTTCGAAGCGGCCATGGGGTCCAGCACGGTGACGTCCTACGCATATCAGAGTGAGACCTGGCCATCCCTGAGGGCTGCGAGATGCGACACCGACGCCACTCTTGAGGGCTGCTGGGGGGTCCACCATAGTGATGTCCTACGCACATTAGAATGAGACCTCGCCGCCCCTGGGGTCTGCGAGATGCGACACCGACGCCACTCTCGAGGGCTGCTGGGGGTTCCAACATCGTGATGTCCTACGCACATCAGACTGAGACCTCGCCGCCCCTGGGGGCTGCGAACTGCGACACTGGCGATACTTTCGAGGGCTGCTGGGGGGGTCCGCAGAGTTACGTCCCACGAACATCATCATGAAACCTCGCCGTCCCTGGGGGCTGCGAACTGCGAAACTGCGCGGGTGTCCACCATAGTGACTACAGTGACGTCCCGCGCAAATCAGAATGAAACCCTGCCGTCCCTGAAGGCTGCGAAATGCGAAACCGTCGCCATTTTCGAGGGCTGCTGGGGGGTCCACCATAGTGACGTCCCACGCATATCAGACTAAAACCTCGCCGCCCCTGGGGACTGCGAAGTGCGACGCTGGCGGTAGTGTCGCCACTTTCCAGGGCTGCTGGGGGGTCCACCACAGCGACGTCCTAGAAACATCAGAATGAGACCTCGCCGTCTCTGGGGCTGCGAAATGTGAAACCGAAGCCACGTTCGAGGGCGGCTTCCTCGGGCTACCCTGCTTCCTACCGCGGTCTGCCTGAACGACCAGGTCACGATTTGGAATGCTTCGGGGGGCGTCTTGAGGCCATCTTGGGCCGTCGTGGGGGTCTCTTGGGGCAATCTTGGAACCCTGTTGTGCCGTCTTGGGGCTCTCTTGGACTGCCTGGAAGCCCTTTCGAATGGTTTCGGAGCGTTTTTCGGACCTCCCAGGCGGTCTCGGACGCCCAGAAGACCGAAGAACAGGGCAGTCCTAAAATCATGAAACAACCTAGGAAAAGCAATGTTCTTCTGCGGTTGAAGACCTCTGGGGGGGGGACCTTCTTTGGGTCGTCTTCGGGCGTTTGGCGAATGCCTGGGGCCTCTTGGAGCCCTCGGTGGGGCGTTCGGCCGCCCGTCTGACCGATTTGGGCCGGTTGCCTGGGCCCTGCAGGGGCTCCCAAGAGCTCTGAAAAGCCTGGGGGTCCTCCTGCAGCGCCGTCCAGGGGGCCCCTGGGGGCCACGGATCCCGGGGGGGGGGGCAGGGTTTCCACAGGGTGCGGATTCAGAAAAATATCACCAGGTCGACACTCGAGGAGAAGTATTCACCAGAATTCCCACGGCGGCGACGAAAAAAACAAAAAACACTATGCAGAGGGGGTCCCACATATGGCCTAAGTAAGTGTTACAAACAATTGGCGGCGGCCGCGCGCAAAAGCCAAACCGACAATATAAAGACGAGGGCGGCGGACTCTGCGCACACTATATGTACTACGTGACATGAGCATGGACATATATCGGTGTAGATAATGTATGTAGACGTGCTTAACTCGCGCGCATTCGTGCGTACATGCTTACCACATATATTTCTGTTTTGAATATCGTCGGGCCGCGAAATACGAGCCGTAATCCGACGCCCCAATCCAATTCAAAAATACATCCGTTCTCTTATCTGAAAGCGCCCGCAATCGCTTCCAAAATCAAGCGAAACCTTCAACCCACGAGCGCGCACCGAAAATATAAGTAACAAAGCATGTCCAAGAGATGTCTGGAAATATCACGCTTCGCCGTCGTTTACCCCCACTAGGCCCGAACTCTCCATGCCACCGCGACGAATTACACAACGTAGTTCTTCTTAACAACCCCCCCGGGCCCCACACACCCACACAAAAGGAACAACCGCGCAACCACGACGAATTGCACAACATAATTCTGTTTCGAAGGGAGCAAGCGCGCAACCGCGACGAGGCCTCTGGCCCACGACCCAGGCGCGGTAGCGGGGTGAGCTGAAGGCAATCTTACAAACAACCGATGAAAATTCGCGGCGGCGGCGGCGGTCCCGAACATCAGGTGCACTTTGCAAAAGACGGATTCGGCGACGGCGGCCCGCCCAGAGACTGGGTGGCGTGGATGCTTACTAGACCAGGTGATATAAGAGTAGATTACACCTCGGTCGGAAGAAATAGGTAGAAACATGAAGTAGGAAGGCGGGTATAGTGGATTGGGTCCAGGTCCTCCCAGAGGATAACAAACCACAGCAAACGCATGTCGATTCTTGAAGTAGGAAGGCGCGTGAAGTAGATTGGGATCTGGGAATCCCAAAGTACCTACTTTCAACGACCGGCGTGCAAAGGTTATGCATACATGCGCAGCTGTGCACATGCACACTGCCCCTGGCCAGGCACATCCTGGGCCCAGGATCGATGTGCATGCCTCCCTGGCCAAGCCAGGAGGGCGAACACATCTGGCCAGGGGCGGTGTGCGTGTGCTTGTGTAGAGATCTCGTAGGCCGATAAGGAAGGAAGGCGTGGAAGTCCACGAAGCAAGCCTGGAGGCGCGCAGAACTCCGGGCAGCCTGCAGCCCCAAGCGGCACTCACGCCGAGCAAGGGCAGACTAAACATCAAAACTGGCTTATCAAAATTCGCGCCTCGCGCCGAGCGAATGCGCGCCTATATTCGCGTCCCTGCGGCTCTCCGTCCAGGAGGTTCATGTCGTGACAACCCCCACCCGCGTTGGTTTCTGACACTACGTGGATCGCTCAACCTTGAAAAATCGGCAGGCTTTTCGAACGCCAGATCGGTGCATATCAGCAGATTTCAGGCCGCTGGCAGCGTTCAACCTTGAACGCCCTCGCTGGGGTCGACACGACGCGAACCTGCCATGATTAGCTGACGTCTGCGCAGGGCGCAGGTGCGAATCGCAGCCCCGCCTTCCAGATCAGGCGGCGAACTCGTTGGCCGCGGCGTACTCGAGCCCCGCGGCAATCTCCTCCTTGAGCGCGGGCTTCAACGCTTCCAAGCGGCCCTTCTCGTAGTCGCTCAGGGGCCCCAGGTCATGCACGGTCTCCACGCCGTCCTTGCCGAAGGTAACCTTGGAGGCAAAATACGGCAAGTCCGTGACCGTGGACTCCACGTAGGCGCACTCCGTCACGGGCGTGCCGGCCAGGCCGGACAGCACGGCCCTGCCGAGGCGAGCACCCGCGAAAGCCATCGAGAGGGTGGCGCTGCCCTTGCCATTCTTCGCGGCCACCACGACGGTGCCGGCGTCCTGCACCTTCTTGTCCAGGTCGGGGATCTTGTCCGCCGGGATGGTCGCCCCCGCCGCGTCCTGGGAGAAGAGCGGCAGGATCGTGGTGCCCGCGTGCCCCCCGATGACAGGGATGGATATGCCGCCGAGGGGCTGCCCGGTGACCTCGTGCACAAACTTCTCCGCCCGCACGCAGTCCAGCGTCGTGATGCCGACGATCTTCTTCGGGTTCAGGCCCTTCTTCTTCCAGAGCTCGCACATCGCTGGCACCACCGAGTTCACGGGGTTGACGATCAGGGCCACGACGGCGTCGGGGCAGAACTTGGCGCAGGCCTCCACGATGTTCTTGGCAATGCCCGCGTTGATGTTCAGCAGGTCCTTTCGGTCCTGGCCGGGCTTGCGCGGGACGCCCGCGGGCACAAGCACCAGGCTGCAGCCGGTGAGGCACTCCTCGGCCTTGTCGATGGCGCGATCGTCCTTGTCGAAGGCGTAGCCCTTGACCGAGGCCTTGTGGTTGAGGTGGGAGAGGTCGGCTGCCACGCCCTCTGCGGGCACCATGGCCAGGGTCAGGTCGTACACGCACAGCTCCGACACGTTGGGGTCCATGGTCATCAGCAGCGACAGGGGCTGCCCGATGCCGCCCGCGCCGCCCACCACGCAGACCTTGAAGCTGCCCATTGCTGCGTCCGCGGCGGGCTTTGATGACCTTGCGTTGCCCATTGGCTGGCTGCGCTGGGCGGATCCCACATGGCTAGGTCTGTCGCGGCGGGTGTCGAACATCCACGCCTCTTCCTGCACCCCCGCCCGCAAAAATCCCCTGGCCGAACATTCGCCCAGGCCCACTCTCCCACCCTCCAATCCCCGATACCCTCTGGCCAACGCTAGATAAGTCGTGAGTCCCTGACAGCAGGCGGGCCTGGAGAGTGTACGCACGGGAGGCCGCGGCCGTTCCAGACTGCTCCGGGACGCTCTGACATGTCTCTGGAACTCTTTCTCCGTACAGTCATCGTGAGGAATGCTGGCCAGGGAACGAAGTGGCGCTTCAGGCCACGACGAGCCTCAGCCACGCATCCCACTAGCCCATCAGGGCGTGAGTGGTTCAGGGAGTTTCCTCTTCCAGCACCCCTTCTTCTCCTTCGGGGAAGGGTTCATCACAATTCCCTACTACTCTACACCCCCTCCCCCAGGCGACCGGCAGCCAACTAGGAACCATGCCGACCCTATGCTCACACCCCCCCAACCATCCCTGTCAAAGAACAATACAGATCACACAGTGCCTCTAAACTCGGAGCATGCGCAACCAACCCGATGCGCCCCTCTCCACCATCCCTGTCCACAAAGTACACTTGGGGCCAAAGTCTTGAGTCATGTTCGTGAGGCCCGCGAGCAATTTGTATTGTTTTTGGACAGGGACGGCGGGGGTGTCAGCATATTGCCTGTTGCGCGCAGTGCCATAATCCCTGTCAAAACGCAATACAAAATGCATCTCGCGGCTAAATCTGGATCATGCGGGGACACCCCGCTATCACTGTCAAATGTTTTTGATGTATTTTGTTGTGTTCTGGTCCGTGTTAAAAACCTCCTGGACAGGACAAGAAAAGGCTGCGCCTAGACGGCGCATCGGCAGATGGTTCGGCAGCTCGTAATGCACATCTGCTATGCATCTGAACAGCTGCGCAGTGCCTCGGAGAAGTCGTTGCATTCTTCGTACCAACGGCTGCGAAGGAAACCTGCGCGGCTTTCCGGAGGAGGCGGAGGGAGGGAGGGAGGGAGGGAGGGAGGATCCGAGAGAAAGAGAGAGAGAGGGAGAGAAAGAGAGCTGTCTGCCTCGAGGCCAAGGTCCAGCCTCAGAGCACAAATACTTAGGTCGGCCGCACACGCACAATACTTCACGCACGGAGATGGTACGTCGCGGTCGCGCAACGCTCATGCAGCAAGCTAGAATCCGCCGGCCCCCTTTTGGGCCGTCTTAAACACCTCCTGGACAGGACAAGAAAAGGCTGCGCCTAGACGGCGCATCGGCAGATGGTTCGGCAGCTCGTAATGCACATCTGCTATGCATCTGAACAGCTGCGCAGTGCCTCGGAGAAGTCGTTGCATTCTTCGTACCAACGGCTGCGAAGGAAACCTGCGCGGCTTTCCGGAGGAGGCGGAGGGAGGGAGGGAGGGAGGGAGGGAGGATCCGAGAGAAAGAGAGAGAGAGGGAGAGAAAGAGAGCTGTCTGCCTCGAGGCCAAGGTCCAGCCTCAGAGCACAAATACTTAGGTCGGCCGCACACGCACAATACTTCACGCACGGAGATGGTACGTCGCGGTCGCGCAACGCTCATGCAGCAAGCTACAATCCGCCGGCCCCCTTTTGGGCCGTCTTAAACACCTCCTGGACAGGACAAGAAAAGGCTGCGCCTAGACGGCGCATCGGCAGATGGTTCGGCAGCTCGTAATGCACATCTGCTATGCATCTGAACAGCTGCGCAGTGCCTCGGAGAAGTCGTTGCATTCTTCGTGCCAACGGCTGCGAAGGAAACCTGCGCGGCTTTCCGGAGGAGGCGGAGGGAGGGAGGGAGGGAGGGAGGGAGGGAGGGAGGGAGGAGGGGAGGGAGGGAGGATCCGAGAGAAAGAGAGAAAGGAGAGAAAAAGAGCTGTCCGCCTCGAGGCCAAGGTCCAGCCTCAGAGCACAGATAGGCCGGCCGCACACGCACAATACTTCACGCACGGTGATGGTACGGTACCAATGGTACGTCGCGGTCGCGCAACGCTCATGCAGCAAGCTAGAATCCGCCGGCCCCCTTTTGGGGCCACCAGGCTGTAGGCCGAAGGTTCGCAGCTTCCTGTGCCAGTTGCAGCTTCCAGTTTCCACTGTTACAGTTCTGCTTCTTGCTGCTTACTGTTCCTTGTTGACTTCTTGCTGCTTACTGTTCCTTGTTGACGGACCGCGCGAGGGGGGGAGGCCCAAAACGGGCATTTTTACCACGCCCTGAGCGTACTCCCTAAGACGGCGGAGCCAAAATGAGTGAGCCGAGTTACACAAGAAGCCTGCGCGGTCCGGCGGAAGGGGACGAGGAGGGGAGAAGCAGGCAGGCAGACGACGACGAACGCCCAGGCGGGAGGCCAGGGCCGGCGGGGCGGGCGGGCAGGCAGAAAACGGGCCAGGCGGAAACAGCAGGCAGGGAGCAGGAGGAAAGGAAAGGGAGGGAAGCAACGAGCAGAAGCGGAGGGAAAGCAGGGGGGAGGAAGAGGGGGAGGAGGAGGAGGAGGAGGAGGAGGAGGAGGAGGAGGAGGAGGAGGAGCAGCAGCAGCAGCAGCAGCAGCAGCAGCAGCAGCAGCAGCAGCAGGGCCGGGCCAGGGGCCGGGAGGGAAAGGCCACCCGCGACGAACCTACGGACACTACGGCGGCGACAGGAGGGTCGGTGTGGGCGTCGGGAAAAGCGTCGGGGGGGGGTCGTGGGCGTAAGGGCGTCGGGAAGGGCGTCGGGGGGGTCGGCCATGGGCGTCGGGAAAGGCGTCGGGAAGGGCGTCGGGGGGGGGGGCCTGACCGAACCCAGCACGCTGCGGCTTAGTGGGGAGGGAACCTCTGCGGTATCACCCACCGGCCCGCCGAGGAAGGGACGGCCAGCGCGTATGCTCTGAATTGCCGGGGTGGGTAAAAATTTACACCCCTCACGCAGATCGGCGGGGTCAAGGTCCAAAAACACATTGGATTCGCCACATTTCTGAAATCCGGTGGCACCCCTCACGCAGATCGGCGGGGTCAGAGTCCAAAACCACACGGGATTTGCCACATTTCTGAAATTTGCCGGCACCCCTCACGCAGATCGGTGGTGTCTGGGTCTAAAAACACAGAGACATGTCTGACATTCGGTGGCACCCCTCACGCAGATCCGCAGGGTCAGGGTCCAAAAACACAAAGGATTTGCCGCATTTCTGAAATTTGCCAGCACCCCTCACGCAGATCGGCGGGGTCAGAGTCCAAAAACACAGGGGATTTGCTACATGTCTCAAATTCGGTGGCACCCCTCACGCAGATCGGCGGGGTCAGGGTCCAAAAACATATAGAATGTGCTACATTTCTAAAAATTCGGTGGAACCCCTCACGCAGATCGGCAGGGTCAGGGTCCAAAAACAAGTAGAATTTGCCACATTTCTAAAATTGAGCGGCACCCCTCACACAGATCGGCGGGGTCAGAGCCCAACATGATGGACCCACGAACCCGGAAAGGGATATAGACATGTGGAACATGGACACGTTTTCACGATACCCAACTGGGCAACACCTCACGAAACATCCCACGAGACACTTCACGAAACATCCCACGAGACACCTCACGAAACATTCCACGAGACACCTCACGAAACATTCCACGAGACACCCCGCGAAACATTCCACGAGACACCCCACGAAACATTCCACGACGACAGGCAACCACTCAACCAAGGCGGTGTGGTCGTGCTGGGGAGTGGTCGTGCTGGGGTGTGGTCGTGCTGGGGGGTGGTCGTGCTGGGGGGTGGTCGTGCTGGGGGGGTGGTCGTGCTGGGGGGTGGTCGTGCTGGGGCGTGGTCGTGCTGGGGCGTGGTCGTGCTGGGGCGTGGTCGTGCTGGGGTGTGGTCGTGCTGTGGTGAGGTCGTGCTGGGGTGTGGTCGTGCTGGGGTGTGGTCTTGCTGGGGTGGGGTCGTGCTGGGGGTGGGGTCCTGCTGGGGTGTGGTCGTGCTGGGGTGTGGTCGTGCTGGGGTGGGGTCGTGCTTGGGTGGGGTCGTGCTGGGGTGTGGTCGTTCTGGGGTGTGGTCGTGCTGGGGTGTGGTCGTGCTAGGGTGGGGTCGTGCTGGGGTGGGGTCGTGCTGGGGTGTGGTCGTGCTGGGGTGTGGTCGTGCTGGGGTGTGGTCGTGCTGGGGCGTGGTCGTGCTGGGGTGGGGTCGTGCTGGGGTGGGGTCGTGCTGGGGTGTGGTCGTGCTGGGGTGGTCCGCACCCTGTGATTTATCGATCGGGTCGTGCTGGGGTGTGGTCGTGCTGGTGCTGGGGTGTGGTCGTGCTGGGGTGTGGTCGTGCTGGGGTGTGGTCGTGCTGGGGTGTGGTCGTGCTGGGGTGTGGTCGTGCTGGGGTGGTCGTGCTGGGCGTGCGTGAGGTGTCCCGCACCCTGTGATTTATCGATCGGGATTTCAAAAACAAGCGTTTCGCCTGAGACATCCTCAAATTTTAATCCGCCGGCCTCCTTCGACCTCGATATTCATCAAGGAAGGAATCCGCCGGCCTCCTTCAAGTTGGGCACCGGGGACATGTTTACATACTAAAAGAGAACCCTGGGCCTATGCCCTTTCCAGGAAAAACACATCGGATTTGACACATTTCTGAAATTTGCCGGCACCCCTCACGCAGATCGGCGGGGTCAGGGTCCAAAAACACAAAGGATTTGCCAATGTCTGACATTCAGTGGCACCCCTCACGCAGATCTGCGGGGTCAGGGTCCAAAAACATGTGGGATTTGCTGCATTTCTGAAATTCGGTGGCACCCCTCACGCAGATCGGCGGGGTCAGATTTCAAAAATCACGAGGGATTTGCTACATGTCTAAAATTCGGTGGCACCCCTCACGCAGATCGGCAGGGTCAGGGTCCAAAAACAATTAGAATTTGCCACATTTTTAAATTGAGCGGCACCCCTCCTACAGATCGGCAGGGTCAGGGTTCAAAAACACGGGGGATTCACATTTCTGAAATTCGATGGCACCTATTACGCAGACCCGCAGGGTCAGGGTCCAAAAACACAAGGGATTTGCCAAATTTCTGAAATTCGGCGGCACCCCTCACGCAGATCGGCAGGGGCAGGGTCTAAAAACACAAAGGATTTGCCACATTTCTGAAAGTCAGCGGCACCCCTCACGCAGATCCGTAGGGTCAGAGTCCAAAAACACAGGGGAATTTGCAACATTTCTGCAATTCGGTGGCATCCCTGACGCAGATCCGTAAGGTCAGGGTCGAAAAACAAACAGGTCCCGACACTGCTTCACGGCGGCGCCCAGACCTCATGATTTAGCTTTTGCATGTCCCATTATCCAAGACAGGGGGCCGGCGGCATGGGGCGAAGCCCTTACGGATATTTGAACAGCGCTGAAAGCAGGCAATGCGGCAATGTGCATTAAGTCCTGAGGTTCTTCTCCTCCTCTTGATCCACTCACCCAATCGCCCCCCAGCCTCTACAAAGAGCCCGCTCTTTCACAACGGACCTTAGCCTCAGAGCCAGGGACGAACCTAGCACCGGTAGCGAAACCGCCGCACGAGGAGCAAAAGAGGAATGAGACATTTGAGCCACCTCTGCTCCTCGTCCTCCATTTCCTCCTGCTTCCTTCCCTCCCTCGGGCATTATCATTCCCACCTCCAGGCATGTGCTGCGAAGGAGCGCACCGCCAGCTATTTGAATTCGAATTCCTCCTCAAGTCTTTCCTACTCACCATCGTCTTCTGAATTCAAAACCTCCGGGTAATTGAAACATGGCCACCGATAGCCCCCATCATACGTAATTTGGCCAGCGACCAGAAAAGCGAAGCCTAGGACCTTGAAATTCGCCGGCCCAACGGGCCAGAGGCGTGCTAAGATCTCCGTTAACTGGTTAACAATATTTCTAGTTCGTGCGCGCGGAGCGGCCCCTTGGGGCCCCCGGACGAAAAGTACCCCGGCAAAGTCCCGGGAGAAGCCACCAGAGCACTCCAGGGGAGGGCCATTTTTCGACACCCCTCACGAGGATCGTGGCCTCCGAGGGGGGAGCCGCAATCGACTACGCCCCCTCCCGCCCCAAGAGGCCCCCAAAAGCCTTCCAAGAGGCCCTGGGGGCCCCCAAGACGCCGCCAAGGAGCCCCAAGAGACTCCCAAGAGGTCCCCAAGAGGCCCCCAAGAGGCCCTAAAGAGGGCTCCCCGGCCAGCGGAATGAGCGAAGCGATTAAATAACCCATGTTAGACCATGCTTCGCCGAACGCAGCCTTTTTATCGACGAAGTGATACCATCCCATGTTAAACATCCACACAGCGATCGCCTCTGAAGACGAGATCATTGCTAGCATTACAGCTGTGAGGAACTTTATTACGTTCATGCGAATTGCATTGTACGTCGCGTCCACGAATATCAACACGATCAAGACGAGCTGGATGGGAATACTTGATTTGATCATGTAAAATGTGTCTACCGGGTCCTCAAGAGAAGCGACGTCATGTCCAGGGATTAACCAACAAAATGGATATATCAGACATGTTATTATCAGCAAGCCCCACGCACCTTCCATGCCCACTACTTTTAGCGGGTCAATTTCTAGCTCTGTCACAAGCTTCTCTTCAAGGACATCCTGCAATGCCCCAGTCAATTGGGCTAGAAGTTCGATTCCGACGCCAAGGGCAATCATTGATGGTGTTGGCATGTTGCCGTCGAAGACCTGGCGGTCGCTGGAGTCGGCAACGGTTGCGACGCTGATGATCAACACGCCCACGGAGGCTAGCAGAGCACCAAGACAATGATGGATGTGCACCTTCCTCTGGAGCAACGTAACTGTCAATAGCGCTGTAAAAATGATGCGCGAACCAGAGAGCATTTGCCATACACTGCCGGGTAGGATAATCAAACTTGCTACATCGAGGCTAGTGACAACCAAGTCACAGATGGCTGGTATAGCGAGTTTCGAATGCTGGTCCCATGCCGAAGCACTGGCACCACTCGAATCGCTCGTGGCAGTATCTTCTCGCAGATGTTGCCACTTTGTTCCCTGATTTTGCAAGCCTGACGACCCCTGGTTGCTCGAAGTTTGAAGGAATGCATCTCGCTCTGCGTCGGCCATGCGTTGTTTCATGCGGTATGCTGGCAGGAGGAGGAGCATTGCAAAAAACATCTCCATAGTTGAAAACAAAGGTTTATGAAAGGCCTTCTGCTCCCCGTCGTGTCCAGTCCCCTGTAGCGTAAAGAGGATTTTCCACAGGATCGTAATGCAAGAGCCAAAGAGAAGCTGAACTGATGCCAACAAACACTTCCCACGAATGTCCATTGCAACGCGCATTACGGCTGCCAACGCGGCGTGCGAATGTAGAAGAAGTACCTACATAGCAACTACTGGTACGGCTTGATGCTTGAGCTAAAATGGCTACCGATCACTGTTAAGTGGTTTTTGATAGGGACGGCGGGGGGGAGGCGCATGGCCTGCTGTGCCCAGGTCGACACTATGAGGGGCATTGGTTCTCGACAAGGATGATGGGGGGCGACATGCTTCCCGATGTGTGCTGTCACGTGCGCAGGCGCACCTGACACACTCTGCACATGCGCCCCGACGGTGGCGCACCTGGCCCGGCTGGAGCATGCGGCACACCCTGGCGCACGCGGAGCACGTGGCGTATCTGGCGCAACAGGCGTGCCTGGCGTGCTCGGGCCCCAGGGGTGCCTGGCGCGCGTGGCGCGCGTGGCGCGCCTGGCACGCGTGGCGCGCCTGGCACGCGTGGCGCACCTCGCCCCAGCGTCGCGCACATGGGGTCGGTTTTGGTTCCCAGTAGCTGCCCATTCAAAGACGATCGCTGGACATGCTGAGGCTCGGGTGTTACTTATGTGTTGGGAAGGCGGGTGGGAGTGAGCTAGACGGCCTGTCATCTAGGGGGGTGTCTTGACCCCTCCCCCTCCCCACTCCCCGTGGGTCTGGACGGGAGGTTTCGCGAAGGGTTAGAGTTTCCAAGATGGCCTCGGCGAGAAGGCCAACATCATTCATTTGACTAAGGTTCTGGCCACATGTTGACCTCTGGGGGGGGGGGGCAATGAACGAGCTCCCCTCCTTTGATCGATCTCCTCCAAGCTGGTCCCCGAGGCTCCCAAGAGTGCCCCAAGAGGGCCCCCAAAGACACCCAGGAGGCCCCAAGAAGTCCCCAAGATGCCCCATCCCACCCCCAGAAAAAACTCCCAAGGGGCTCCTCCTACAGACCCTCCAGAGACCGAGAGAAGCTCCCCTGAGGCACCCAAGACGCTTTAAGAGGCCCCTACGACCGCCACGAGGCCCGCCAAACACCCCAACACCCCAAGAGACTCCGAGAGGCATCCAAGAGACCTGTGGCCTTTCTGTGCGACTTGCTCCTCCTTCTCTGAAAAGGCCCTGGGACACACAAATAAATACACACAAATAAAAGATTCCCCCATATTTCCCAACCATCCTGTGGTGTTGGGTCCTCGTTTTGAAGAGACAGCGCCCGCTCCCGCTCACACTCCTCCTCCCCCTCCTCCCTCCTCCCCTCCCTCCCTCCTCCCCCTCCCTCCTCCTCCTCCCTCCTCCCTCCTCCCTCCTCCCTCCTCCTCCCTCTCCCTCCCTCCTCCTCCTCCTCCTCCTCTCCCTCCTCCTCCTCCTCCTCCTCCTCCCCTCCTCCCTCCTCCCACCATCATCATCGTCATCATCCTCCATTTCGGCACACCCCTCACACGTTTCGTGGCCCCATAGGGAGCCCCACCGAAGGCCCCAGTGCTGCCGCCCGCATGCGTCCCGCACACCCAATTCGGCACACCCCTCACACGTTTCGTGGCCCCATAGGGAGCCCCACCGAAGGCCCCAGTGCTGCCGCCCGCATGCGTCCCGCACACCCAATTCGGCACACCCCTCACACGTTTCGTGGCCCCATAGGGGGACCGAAGGCCCCAGTGCTGCCGTGCCCGCATGCGTCCCGCACACCCAATTCGGCACACCCTCACACGTTTCGTGGCCCCATAGGGAAGGCCCAGTGCTGCCGCCCGCATGCGTCCCGCACACCCAATTCGGCACACCCCTCACACGTTTCGTGGCCCCATAGGGAGCCCCACCGAAGGCCCCAGTGCTGCCGCCCGCATGCCCCGCACACCCAATTCGGCACACCCCTCACACGTTTCGTGGCCCCATAGGGAGCCCCACCGAAGGCCCCAGTGCTGCCGCCCGCATGCGTCCCGCACACCCAATTCGGCACACCCCTCACACGTTTCGTGGCCCCATAGGGAGCCCCACCGAAGGCCCCAGTGCTGCCGCCCGCATGCGTCCTGCACACCCAATTCGGCACACCCCTCACACGTTTCGTGGCCCCATAGGGAGCCCCACCGAAGGCCCCAGTGCTGCCGCCCGCATGCGTCCGCACACCCAATTCGGCACACCCCTCACACGTTTCGTGGCCCCATAGGGAGCCCCACCGAAGGCCCCAGTGCTGCCGCCCGCATGCGTCCCGCACACCCAATTCGGCACACCCCTCACACGTTTCGTGGCCCCATATTGCGGCACACCCCGGCACACCCTCACACGTATTGATGCGTCCCGCACCGGCACACCACACGTTTCGTGACCCCATAGGGAGCCCCACCGAAGGCCCCAGTGGCACCGCCCGCATGCGTCCCGCACACCCAATTCGGCACACCCCTCACCCGTTTCGTGGCCACATAGGGAGCCCCACCGAAGGCCCCAGTGCTGCCGCCCGCGTGCGTCCCGCACACCTAATTCGGCACACCCCTCACACGTTTCGTGGCCCCATAAGAAGCCCCACCGAAGGCCCCAATGCTGCCGCCCGCATGCGTCCCGCACACCCAATTCGGCACACCCCTCACACACGTTTCGTGGCCCCATAAAGAGCTCCACCGAATGCCCCAGTGGCGGCGCTCACATGCGCATGCGTCCCGCACACCCATTTCGGCACACCCCTGACAAGTTTCGTGGCCCCATCATCCACCGGAGGCCCGGCGGCGCTCACATGCGTCACCCACACCCACCCAATTCGGCACACCCCTCACACGTTTCGTGGCCCCATAGGGAGCTCCACCGAAGGCCCCAGCGGCCGCGCTCACATGCGTCCCCGCCACCCATCCCGGCACGCCCCTCACAACAACAGGTTTCGTGGCCCCATAGGGAGCTCCACCGAAGGCCCCAGTGGCACCGCCCGCATGCGTCACCACCCGCACCCAATTCGGCACACCCCTCACACGTTTCGTGGCCCCATAGGGAGCTGCACCGAAGGCCCCAGTGGCGGCGCTCACATGCGTCCCCGCCACACATCCCAGTACACCCCTCACGCGCTTCGTGGCCCCATAGGGAGCTCCACCGAAGGCCCCAGTAGCGGCGCTTCCATGCGTCTCCGCCACCCATCCCGGCACCCCCCAGCCGCAGCAGCATCATGTTTCGGGGACCCATAGGGAGCTCCACTGGAGGCCCCAGTGGCGGCCCTCACATGCGTTTCCGCCACCCATGTCGGCACGCCCCGCGCGTGTTTCATGTCCCCATAGGGAGCTTCGCCGAATGCCCCAGTGGCACCCATCTCGGCACACCCCTCACACGTTCCGTAGTCCTATGGGGAGTTCCACTGAAGATGAAATCCGCAGCTGCGGTACTGTCAACTGCATATGGTTGGGTTCTTCGCCAGGCTGATTTCACATATATTCTGGGTTTTTGTCTTCCCGCCCAATTCCTATATATTCCTATATTTTCCTGGGAATCGACGATTAATTGTGTCTGTGTGTTTTTTCCCCTCCTGATTCTACTCTTCCTCCTCCTCCTCCTCCTCCTCCTCCTCTTCCTCCTGTTCTTCCACTGCGTGCTCCTTCACATGCCTGATCACAGCAACTCGCCTGGGCATCGTTTCTAAGTGGTTGGTGGGGTTACGCGAAGTAGGTTTTCCGGCCTAAACATAAGGAACGGCCCAGAAACAATAACCCCCGCCTGAATTTAGCAGGCGCTGGAAACGACAGAGCTGTTTTGTTACCGGCTCAATGTTTCCATGATGCTTCTGTTTTCGTCGGCGTCATTTTCTGGCTCCGTCGCCGTTTTTGTGTCTGCATGATAGCCGCGAACCAAGCCGAGAACCGAGAACTGGGCCTGGAACCGAACCGGCTTGCCAAACCGAACTGGAACCGAACCGGCCCGCGGTACGAACCGAACCCGCCGAACCGACCCGGCCGAACCGGCCGAACCGAACTGGCCAACCAGGCGAACCGAACCGGTCGAACCGAACAGGCGGAACCGAACCGGACGAACCGAACCAGGGGGTCCGATACCAGTTCGGGGGCGGCCCAAACGCAACCCACAGCACTTGCGGTCCAAATGACGTCATCAGAACCAGCTCGGACACGACATCGATTTTTCGCGTTCCGACAAATTGTTTTTCGGGCCCACCCGAACCCCCCCCGGTCAAGGCTCCATTCAGACGGCCCCCGAATCCTGAGCACGCCGGAGTCGATTTGTCGAGCTCGGAAAAAACGTTTTCCCGGGGCCAGTGTTATGGAGGGCGCCAAGCCGCTCTGGACTTTATGTTTCGAGGTCGCCCCAACGAAAACGCAGTCGCAAACTGAACCTTTTTGGGGGTGCGTCGGGGTCGCGTTTCGGGGGGTGTGACGATGCAACTTCTGAGATAGGCGCCCGGAGTTTCCGTACGTCGCCTGAGACTCATGGGCCCTGGGAGCCGCAATGTTTACGGATAGGAAACGAGTGAGGCGAGGGGCAAACGCTGGGCCATCCAGCACTCTCGCTTTCACACTGGTTCTAAAATTATGTTGGAGGGCACGGGAACGTGCTATAAAGTAAAACTCCCAGGTCCCGCAGCGGGCAAAATCCGCCATCTCAAAAAAAAACAGACAGCAATGCAAACAGCTTGCAGAGGAAAAGTAAGCAGACAGCCGATAAGTTTCGTAGTGTGGAAAATGCACAGTAGGCTCACGTTACCAATACCTGTCCACAGTCAGAATACATCAAACCATGTACTCCCAATCGGTCGCCCACGCACTCAGCATCGCATTCGAGTCGTGGTCGCTCTTACACGGGGCGTATTGGTGATATATGATTACTCCACCCATCGACCTCCTGATCTGAGATCCATCCATTATTTTAGTTAGCGCGTCGGCTAGCATGTACTTAGTCGGAAACCAGGCTAAAGGCAACTTAGACTTAGTAGCTGCTGCAACATCTTCCACAATCTCGTCCTCCAAGAACTCTCGTAGCCCGAACAAATCCAAAAACCAATCCACGCGCAGCTGGAAGTTTGACAGCTCCTTCTCGGTGAACTGCGTCGTATAACGAATCGCAGTCCGTCGCGCACTGAATCGGGCATAATGTCGGATCGATGTTGTCGGGATTCGTCTTCGGATACAAAAGATTAAGAACTGAAGCACGCATGACAATGGCCGCGCCCATAATATCCACTGCACTCATGGTCTCCGCGGCAAACGTGTTTCGGCATACCCTTCGAATGGTAGCTGACCTCCCAGTCGACCAAAGCGGCCTTGCCTTCTCCGTTCTGCATGATCCTCTTCTCGGCCACGAATAACAAAAATCCCGCCTGGCTCTTAGCCTCGAGACTCTTCGGGGCCTCCGAAGCGCAGGCGGTGCGCATGCGGCGTCGGCGCCGCCAGGCGGTGCCAGCTACCCTGCCGTCTGGCTCGCCCACGTTAGCCCATTCAGCGTCGTGAGACACAAGAACGCAGAGCTCGCCTGGCAGCTTCGGGATTGCAAGGTCAAGCTCCGGTTCTCGGCGGTCTCGATCTCGGTGGCAGGGCATCCAAGATCTCGTTTGCGCTCCTTGGTCAACTCGAGCGGCGCTAACTTCTCGGCGAATACTGATTGGATCATTCGAATTGCTCCATCTGAACGTTGAACAACATCCGTAGCGCGGAAAATGAAATCAAGCCTTTGCCCACAACCTCCGAACGGAAACAGCTTCTTGATTCTATCATAGCTGGCTTGAGTACTGGAAGCAATCAGTAGATCATCCACATGAACACACACAATAGCTTGCAGAGTTCCATATGAACTATGTCCCACAAATAAAACTGGATCCGCCAAGCTTTGAACCAAATTGAACTTCTTGCCATCCTTGCCCACGAGCTCAACCTTGAGCAGTGCGTTCTTGAGAGTAGCCCACCACTGTCGTGGGGCAGTCGCCAATCAGAAAATGCCCTTGACGAAGCGTAGTACTTGTCCTGGTTGAAGTCCTGGTAGACCTTGGGGCGGCTGCCCCATGAAAAGAGGTTGTCTCTGGGCTGCTCCTCTCCCTGCACAAACGCGGACATGAGGTCGGCACGCACTGGGTCCCAGTCGAAGCGTGCTGCCATGATAAAGAACAATAGCGAACTGGTTCGCGGCACCGTAGGGGCATCTGTCCGTAGAGCTCCTGTCTGTAGATCTGGATCGCGGTGTCCTCCAGCACATAGTCGAGCCTTGGCCTTCACCGGCGCGGGGTTAGCTTCTGCGCGGATATTGACATTCTTGTCGCGGAACACGAAGCGAGACGGTAGGAAGCGGTTGCTGTCATTGTCGTTCCGGGCTTGTTGGGATTCCTCCAGTGAGAGCGCTTCCACATAATCAAACTTCTTCCACTCCTCCCAGTGCTCGGCGATGGCCTTCTGGTAGAGTGGCTTGTGCTCCTCGGGAATGTCCTTCCAAGCGATCTCTTTGTCTTGAAGCTTCTGTCTGAGCCTCTCGCTCTGAGCTCGAGCACCGCGAATCATTGCGGCGAAGCTGGAGTTGGTAGTAGTGCCCTGGTCGCTGTCGTCGGCGATGCTGACGATGTAAGGCTGCCCCGCTTGTCGAGCGGCTTGTCGCCCGGCGATTCGGCGAGCAGCTTCTTCTTGCTGTTGACTCCCTCGAATACAATGTGGTACGTCATCGAGTGGACTGTAGACTGCTCGGCGTCGCTGAAAATCCTCGCGTTTCCAGTCCTCGTCGTTGGGTACAAGGCGATGCTGTACTTGTCCAGGCGTCGGTGTCGGAATTGGAGTAGGCGATGATGGTGCTGCTTCAGCTTGTCCAGATGGGAGCTCCTCTGCAGGTGAGAGCTCAACATCATCGCGAACTTATGATGCATCGTCGGCGGGGGCTCCTGCAGCGTCCACCTCCATCTCCACCCCTTGTTATTATTCTGCTGGCGGTGGCTGTTCTCCTCGCAGATCTTCGCGCTCGATATCGGCGCTGGCGTCCGCATCGCGGTTTAGACGCTGAAGTTGATCGAGAGCTTTTCCATGCTGATCATCTATTCCTGGCCACCAGACTTCTTCAGTAGTAACCGGCCGAATATGTTCTGGAGCTACGAGGTTAGTGAAGCAACCGTGTGGTATCCAGTAGTTCTGGCCTTGTTTGCCCACGATCACAGCTGGCCGCAGCCAGGTGCCCTTCTTGATCGAGCGCTTCTTGAGCTGGCGGCAATAGAAACAAAGGTCACCTTGCTCGAGCGGATGTGCGCGTGCGCGGGTGCGGCCCAGCAGTGCCTTGCGCAGCGTTTTGTCGTTCTGCATTTCCATGGGGGCCTTGCGGGCGGCGGTCCGCATCTTGAGCTGTCGTTCCATCGGTTGTAATTCGGCTTCTTCGCGCGCTGCGTCATGGCGAGCTCCGCCCGCTAGATCAGCTGGTAGTCGGGCGCTTTTGCCAAAGACCCACTGTTCTGCACTGAAACCACATTGACGTCGCAGCGCATTCTTGGCGCCAGTGACTACGGAAGAGATGATGCGCATGTCGGACTCACCTGAGGCTGCGGTGTGCGAGATGGTCCTTTCGGCCAACTCCTTCCACCAACCTCCTTGGCGTTCAGTCCGTCCGTGTTGCCATGCTGCGTGACCGGCCACCGGAACGGCCACGCAATGAAACTTATCGAGCATATCCTGACAGACCGAACCAAATCCACGCTCCAAATCCACAACTGCACTTGCTGGTGGTCCTGCCCAGCTTGTCCATATCTGAGTGAACACCTGAACCAATACTTCTGAATGATGACTTTCGATCATGCCCACAACGTGGAACGTCGTACCAGAATCCGTCACTGATCAGCAATCCCATGATTTACCATCCACATCCTTGATCGTAAAACAATCCAAACCAATCTGCTCATTGAAATCGGCTGCGTGGGAAAGTCTAGCTGGTCTCGCGATGTTCTCCCGGACCTTGCTCATGCACGTAGCATATCGTAGAGACTTCGCCGCCTTCACCACCTCTGGTCAGCATCCTGAAAACCTCAACGATCTGGCAAGATCCTCGTTGCTGGGGTGGCCTAAATTATGGTGAAGTTGTCGTAGAGCTGCGAGGTCCTTGCTTGAGCACTCCGAGCTTCCAGGACCAAACTGAATGGCCTTGGCTCCGATGTCGTCTGCAACAGGCTCTGGCTGGCACCACAACTGAACCTTCAACTTGGCAGCGCGATCCAACTTAGCCTTGATCTATCCGCGGTGATATCGGCCTCCTCGAAGTCTTGCAACACAATGTCGGTCTCAAGGTCTACGACACTTCTTCTGCCAACGCGGCTCCAATCGGGTCCATCTGGCAACTTGACCGGTATCTCTGCGACGTCGCCAACGTTCTCGTAGTAGAACCACTCGTCTGATTCGCCACCCATGAGATCCATCAAGTCGAGGGTCGCGTAGACTCCGCGCTCCATCATGTAGGTCACGTTGCTGCGCTGGCACGCCTGCAAGACTGCCTTCGCGAACTCTCTGGTGTATCGTCCTGCCTTGTGCCTTGTGAGCTCCTTCCGATTGGCGATGCGGGTGACGTCCGTCACGCTGCTTGCTCAACCGCTTGACGTGGGAATCATTGGAGACCAAGAGCTTCGTCGGCTTCTTGACCAGTCCGTGAGACTGCCGGCGTCGCAAGCTGAACTGGCACATGTCGACCTTCACCTCTTTCACCCGGGGGTGCTCCTTCAAGCGCTTGATCTGCTCCTTCAATACCTCCGACGTCAAAGGGTTCTCGAACAGGATGTCTCGCATGCTGTTCAGCTGCATCATACCGATCTCCTCCGCGAAGTCCAGTAGGGGTCGGTCTCGAAGACGCTGGCGACGTAGTTATTGTTGTCTAGCTTCGCCTCGATAGTTGACTCTGGTGAGCTGCGTCCAAAGAGTGCAGGGGTACTCCAGCGCGAGTAGCTTCGGCCTGCAGGTGCGATAGAGCTTTAGGATCTCTCGTCGATCTTGGGCGCTCCGTAGGTTGCAGTTGTATATCTGATTGACGGGCTCGCACACCTTGAGTCCTGCTCGACTGAACTTCCCTGAGATGACGGCCTCACCTGCGAAGAGCTGCATCAGGACGTAGCTCGAGTCGGTCTTGACGTTGAACACGTCGCAGAGGTCCTGCACAATAGCCTTGCCTTCCGAGGCGAGCGGCTTCACCAGGAAAGCGCCTGCGAACGTGGTCTGCCACGCCAGGAAAACTGACTGCCTTCTTGATCATGTCCATGTAGCGCTCGAGCTGTCCCGGCTTCATCTCTCGCTTCACTCCTGCTGTTGCCTGCTCTTCCCCATCGGAACTATCATCTTTCAAGTCTGGTCCTCCTCTACGCCGATGTCTTCTGCTGCAATATCCATGCCGCTGATCGATGAGCTCCCTCTCCTGGTTGCTGGTTCGTCGCTCTCTGAGTCGTCCGAGGGCTGTGGCCCCACTGGCCTTGCTCGTCGCGCCCTTCCTGAGCTCCGACAGGCCAAAGAGGCACTCCTGGTCGCTGAAGCAACTCTCGAAGTCGTAAGCAGCGGCGCCTCGCCCTTGATCTCCTCCTTCTTGACTGCCTTCGGTATCTGTCCCAGCACAAGCACGCGATTTTGTCCTTGAACATGTCGTCGGTTACCTTCGCGTTGCGCTTCTTGGCCAGCTGGGCCAACTCTGCTCGCGACTTCTTGGCGAGTCCTCGGAGTTCTGGATCCGCGGCTCGAGCTCCTCTGCGACTCTGGCCGCCCTCGATCCGTTGCTCGCTGAGGATCACGCGCATCTCTCTGCAGCCCAGACCTTGGAACCCCATCCCGTTGCTCTCCATCTCCTCCTGCAGCTCCACCTTGACCATCGTCCCCAGTGGTAGTAGTCGTCGGGGCGCTGGCGCCTCGGCCTGCCTCCCGAGGGCCCCCCCCTTGCCGCGGCGGCGCCCGTTGTGGAAGATGATGGCCGCAGCCGGACGCCTGGTCATCGCGATGGCTAAGAACACTAGCTTGACGATCTGCTTCCAGCGCATCAGCGCCACGGTGTTGTACTTCTTCTTGGATCTGACATCGAGAATGTCCCAACCCTGGAGCCATCCCAGCACGCTGAGAGGCATCATCACATGAACGAAAACACGGATCTCGAGAAACACCTGAAACGGTTTGAACAACAGTTGGCTGAGGCCGAATTGTTTCATCATCGTATCCGCCAGCTATATCGAATCGCACGCATCTTGCTGGCGCTTCTGCTTGCTGCTTTTGCATAGGTTTCTGTAATCCGGCACGCTTATCCTTTTCCCGAAACTTGTCCGTAATGGGTTTTCGTTGGGGTGCTCATGAGGCTTTCTGAAGTTTAGTTCGCAATGATTCGGATCGCTCTCGAAGTTGCTGAAGTTTAGCTCGTACTGCGTCGAATCCCTCATGATGTTGAAGTTCAGCTCCTCGCGATCCGGGTCGCTCTTAACGCGGTTGGCGCGGGGCCCCGTCGGGCCCCGCTGGAGGCCCGCTGGGAATATCTCGCACCTGTGCTTGGGAGGCCTCCAGAGCGCGATGATCCCGCGAGCGATGGGGACGGGGTTCCCGCCAAGTTCTTTCCACCGGCGCTGCGATGGCGGAAGCAGCCTGATCTCTGTCTGGCCGGGGCCCATGTCTGGAGCCATGGTGAAAATGTGAGCCCCGTCGAACTCCAGCACGTCGAAACTCGGACGTCCGCTCTTGGTCTGCCCGAGCTCGAGGATGGAGACTCCCAGCTTCCTGAACGTCATGGCGCTCTTGCCAGCCTCCACCTCGCGGTCGCGCGCTGCCCCCAGCTGACCAGGGGCCTCCTGCGATAGCAGCGCGGGGACCAGGCACGGCGCGACGGAGGTCCTCAGCGCGAGGGGGCGTCCACGCACGGCGAGCGGCGCCAGCGCTCCGATCGCGCTCGCGACTGGCTTCCCGGCGCCGAACCTGACAATTTCACGTTCGCCGAACTCGATCGGCCCGAGGCGCGCCACCGCGAGCCGCTTCTCGATGTCCTTGCGCCACGCCTGCCCTCCAACGGACTTGGAGCAGCGCGAGTCTGATGGCAGCTTGCCGCCGCACTGCTGCAGCAGCTCCTCCTTCGCAGCCATGATGACGTTCATGGTGCCCGCGCCTGTCATCAGCACGCTGTTGTTGATGAAGAACGTCTGCTTCTCGATCTGTTTCTCTTTGCTGCTCCAGCTCGTGGGATACTGCTTGGATCCCTGGTCTTCCTCGTCGTGGTCGACGGCGGTCGTCATGTGCGCCTTGCTCGGCGCCCCTGAACACTCGGGGTCGCCCTTCCAGTGCCCCAACTTCTGGCTCACTGCGCAGTGAGTTCTCGCCTTCAGCTTCTTGATGCGGTCCGAGCCCTTGCCGCCGGGCCCCTCGCCGCCTCCGCAACTGCCCTTGCCGCCAGGTCCTTTGCCAGGTCCGCGCCCAGGTCCCGGCGGCCGATCTCGATGATAGAAACCTCTGGCGTGTTTGGCATCCTTCTGTCTGTCCTTCGCTCTGGCGAGCATCTTCTCTAGCTCGTAAACTTCGGCCCCCGCTTCATCGTGCCCCTCGAGCAACTCCCCCGGCAGGTCCTCGTCGTCCACCTGGGTCTCGTGCGCCTCGAAATCCTCCTCTTCGTCGTTCTCGTGAGGTGAGCTCCCCATCGTCGAGGTCGAGCTGGTGGAACTCTGGGCGCTAGTGGTGTCATGGGTGCTGGTATCTGGGGGTTGTGCTTGCCCAGTGCTTTGGCGTCCTTCACGTTAAGCAACGTCTGCTTCTGTAAAGGCTTGAGCTCGTACTTATTCTGATTGGCGTTCAGCACTCCAACTTCTCGATCTGGCGGCAAGCCTAGCCACCACATGATCAACCACGCCAGCGCCTGATCTGGGAACTCGATCTGCATCGTCTTGAGCCTTGAGACCTGCGCATCGAAGCGGTTGATGCAGGCCCTGACATCCTCGCCGCTGTCGCGGCGCATGCGGGTGAAGAAGGTCTTGAGCTCGGACCCGAGCTCCATCACCTTCTCGTCATCAAACTTGTCTGCCAGGAAATCGAGCAGCACTTGGACCCCTTCGTCATTCTGAAGCTCGGTCGGGTCGAGGTCCTCTGCGTGTACCCAGGCGTCGCCCTTCAGTTCTGCGTAGAGTTCCGCGGCCTGCCTCTCGAGGGGCAGTCTGGCTCGTATCTTGAATATGGCCACTCGCCTCCTATAATCCTTCATCGTCATCGTCTCTGGGTCGAAGGCTGGAGCTGGAACGTGTGGTCCTCCCGGCTGCTGGGTACGTCCTTCCTCGCCCTCTCCTTGTTCATCGGACGGCTCCATCTTAGGCGCCATCCTCGCCGGAACTGCTGGTTGTCTCCAGCCTCGTACGTGCTACGGGGTTGCGGTCTGTCCGCTGAACTCGATGCTGCGAGCTGCTTCTCTTCGCTGCGACGAAGTCGTGTCCGTGGGTCGAACAGCTCCTGCTACCAATGTGAAGATGCCACTTCTGAAAGAGGCGCTCGTATTTTCCGTATGTCGCCTGAGACTCAAGGGCCCTGGGAACCGCAATGTTTACGGATAGGAAACGAGTGAGGCGAGGGGCAAACGCTGGGCCATCCAGCACTCTCGCTTTCACAAAGGGGCAGCCCCAGGAGGTCCGCTGCCAGTTGGGGGGGGGGCCCAAACGCAACCCGCAACACCTGCGGCCAAAATAACGTCATCAGAACCAGGGGCCCCAGGTCGCTCAGGGGCCCCAGGTCGTGTACGGTCTCCACGCCACCCTTGCCGAAGGTAACCTTGAGGCAAAATACGGCAAGTCCGTGACCGTGGACTCCACGTAGGCGCGCTCCGTCACGGGCGTGCCGGCCAGGCCGGACAGCACGGCCCTGCCGAGGCGAGCACCCGCGAAAGCCATCGAGAGGGTGGCGTTGCCCTTGCCGTTCTTCGCGGCCACCACGACGGTGCCGGCGTCCTGCACCTTCTTGTCCAGGTCGGGGATCTTGTCCGCCGGGATGGTCGCCCCCGCCGCGTCCTGGGAGAAGAGCGGCAGGATCGTGGTGCCCGCGTGCCCCCCGACGACAGGGATGGATATGCCGCCGAAGGGCTGCCCGGTGACCTCGTGCACAAACTTCTCCGCCCGCACGCAGTCCAGCGTCGTGATGCCGACGATCTTCTTCGGGCTCAGACCTCTCTTCTTCCAGAGCTCGCACATCGCTGGCACCACCGAGTTCACGGGGTTGACGATGAGGGCCACGACGGCGTCGGGGCAGAACTTGGCGCAGGCCTCCACGATGTTTTTGGCAATGCCCGCGTTGATGTTCAGCAGGTCCTTTCGGTCCTGGCCGGGCTTGCGCGGGACGCCCGCGGGCACAAGCACCAGGCTGCAGCCGGTGAGGCACTCCTCGGCCTTGTCGATGGCGCGATCGTCCTTGTCGAAGGCGTAGCCCTTGACCGAGGCCTTGTGGTTGAGGTGGGAGAGGTCGGCCGCCACGCCCTCTGCGGGCACCATGGCCAGGGTCAGGTCGTACACGCACAGCTCCGACACGTTGGGGTCCATGGTCATCAGCAGCGACAGGGGCTGCCCGATGCCGCCCGCGCCGCCCACCACGCAGACCTTGAAGCTGCCCATTGCTGCGTCCGCGGCGGGCTTTGAGGACCTTGCGTTGCCCATTGGCTGGCTGCGCTGGGCGGATCCCACATGGCTAGGTCTGTCGCGGCGGGTGTCGAACATCCACGCCTCTTCCTGCACCCCCGCCCGCAAAAATCCCCTGGCCGAACATTCGCCCAGGCCCACTCTCCCACCCTCCAATCCCCGATACCCTCTGGCCAACGCTAGATAAGTCGTGAATCCCTGACAGCAGGCGGGCCTGGAGAGTGTACGCACGGGAGGCCGCGGCCGTTCCAGACTGCTCCGGGACGCTCTGACATGTCTCTGGAACTCTTTCTCCGTACAGTCATCGTGAGGAATGCTGGCCAGGGAACGAAGTGGCGTTTCAGGCCACGACGAGCCTCAGCCACGCATCCCACCAGCCCATCAGGGCGTGAGTGGTTCAGGGAGTTTCCTCTTCCAGCACCCCTTCTTCTCCTTCGGGGAAGGGTTCATCACAATTCCCTACTACTCTACACCCCCTCCCCCAGGCGACCGGCAGCCAACTAGGAACCATGCCGACCCTATGCTCACACCCCCCCAACCATCCCTGTCAAAGAACAATACAGATCACACAGTGCCTCTAAACTCGGAGCATGCGCAACCAACCCGATGCGCCCCTCTCCACCATCCCTGTCCACAAAGTACACTTGGGGCCAAAGTCTTGAGTCATGTTCGTGAGGCCCGCGAGCAATTTGTATTGTTTTTGGACAGGGACGGCGGGGGTGTCAGCATATTGCCTGTTGCGCGCAGTGCCATAATCCCTGTCAAAACGCAATACAAAATGCATCTCGCGGCTAAATCTGGATCATGCGGGGACACCCCGCTATCACTGTCAAATATGTTTGATTATTTTGTTGTGTTCTGGTCCGTGTTAAAAACCTCCTGGACAGGACAAGAAAAGGCTGCGCCTAGACGGCGCATCGGCATATGGTTCGGCAGCTCGTAATGCACATCTGCGATGCATCTGAACAGCTGCGCAGTGCCTCGGAGAAATCGTTGCATTCTTCGTACCAACGGCTGCGAAGGAAACCTGCGCGGCTTTCTGGAGGAGGCGGAGGGAGGGAGGGAGGGAGGGAGGGAGGAGGGGAGGGAGGGAGGATCCGAGAGAAAGAGAGAGAGAAAGGAGAGAAAAAGAGCTGTCCGCCTCGAGGCCAAGGTCCAGCCTCAGAGCACAAATAGGCCGGCCGCACACGCACAATACTTCACGCACGGTGATGGTACGTCGCGGTCGCGCAACGCTCATGCAGCAAGCTAGAATCCGCCGGCCCCCTTGTGGGGCCACCAGGCTGTAGGCCGAAGGTTCGCAGTTTCCTGTACCAGTTGCAGCTTCCAGTTCCCACTGTTACAGTTCTGCTTCTTGCTGCTTGCTGTTCTTTGTTGACTTATTGCTGCTTACTGTTCCTTGTTGATGGACCGCGCGAGGGGGGGAGGCCCAAAACGGGCATTTTTACCACGCCCTGAGCGTATGCTCTGAATTGCTGGGGTGGGTAAACATTGACACTCCTCACGCAGATCGGCAGGGTCAGGGTCCAAAAACACAGGTGATTTGCCACATTTCTGAAATCCGGTGGCACCCCTCATGCAGATCGGCGGGGTCAGAATCCAAAAACACAGGGGATTTGCTACATTTCTGAAATTTGCCGGCACCCCTCACGCAGATCGGTGGGGTCAGGGTCTGAAAACACATCGGATTTGCCACATTTCTGACATTCGGTGGCACCCCTCACGCAGATCTGCGGGGGTCAGGGTCCAAAAACACATCGGATTTGCCACATTTCTGAAATCCGGTGGCACCCCTCACGCAGATCTGCGGGGTCAGGGTCCAAAAACAAATGGGATTTGCCACATTTCTAAAATTCGGTGGCACCCCTCACGCAGATCGGCAGGGTCAGGGTCCAAAAACAAGGAGAATTTGCCACATTTCTAAAATTGAGCGGCACCCCTCATACAGATCGGCAGGGTCAGGGTTCAATTATCCTGGCGAAGGACCCAACCATTTGCAAACGTGAATACCGCAGGGCAGGTGGGACGAAGCAAAAGGAATTCCCAATGTGGCCACGAACCGTGTGAGGGGTGCGCCACACTGGGGCGGGGCCGCCATGCGAACCCTGCCACTGAGGCCTTCGGTGGAGCTCCCTATGTCCCTGCGGGGCCACGAACCGTGTGAGGGGTGCGCCAATATGGGGCGGGGCCGCCATGCGAACCCTGCCACTGGGGCCTTCGGTGGAGCTCACCTATGGGGCCACGAACCGTGTGAGGGGTGCGCCACAATGAGGCGGGGCCGCCATGCGAACCCTGCCACTGGGGCCTTCGGTGGAGCGCCCTATGGGGCCACGAACCGTGTGAGGGGTGCGCCAAAATGGGGCGGGGCCGCCATGCGAACCCTGCCACTGGGGCCTTCGGTGGAGCTCCCTATGGGGCCACGAACCGTGTGAGGGGTGCGCCACAAATGGGGTGGGGCCATGCGAAAATGCCCCTGCCACTGGGGCCTTCGGTGGAGCTCCCTTGTGGCAAAAATGTGCGAACCGCGTGTGGGGTGCCACTGCACTGGGGCGGGGCCGCCTGCGAACCTTGCCACTGGGGCCGGTGGAGCTCCCTGAACCGTGAGGGGTGCGCCAAATGGGCGATGCGAACCCTGCACTGTTCGGTGGAATGGGGCAACGAACCGTGTGAGGGGTGCGCCACAATGGGGCGGGGCCGCCATGCGAACCCTGCCACTGGGGCCTTCGGTGGAGCTCCCTATGGGGCCACGAACCGTGTGAGGGGTGCGCCAAAATGGGGCGGGGCCGCCATGCGAACCCTGCCACTGGGGCCTTCGGTGGAGCTCCCTATGGGGCCACGAACCGTGTGAGGGGTGCGCCAAAATGAGGCGGGGCCGCCATGCGAACCCTGCCACTGGGGCCTTCGGTGGAGCTCCCTATGGTGTGAGGGGTGCGCCAAAATGGGGCGGGGCCGCCATGCGAACCCTGCCACTGGGGCCTTCGGTGGAGCTCCCTACGGGACCACGAACCGTGTGAGGGGTGCGCCCAAATGGGGCGGGGCCGCCATGCGAACCCTGCCACTGACGCCTTCGGTGGAGCTCCCTATGGGGCCACGAACCGTGTGAGGGGTGCGCCAAAATGAGGCGGGGCCGCCATGCGAACCCTGCCACTGAGGCCTTTAGTGGAGCTCCCTATGGGGCCACGAACCTTGTGAGGGGTGCGCCAAAATGGGCGGGGCCGCCATGCGAACCCTGCCACTGGGGCCTTCGGTGGAGCTCCCTATGGGGCCACGAACCGTGTGAGGGGTGCGCCAAAATGGGGCGGGGCCGCCATGCGAACCCTGCCACTGGGGCCTTCGGTGGAGCTCCCTACGGGACCACGAACCGTGTGATGGGTGTGCCGAAATAGAGGCATGCGGAGGGTGATGGTGATGATGACGACCATGTTGGTGCTGATGATGATGACGATGACGATGACGATGATGATGACGATGATGATGTTGACGATGATGATGATGGTGGGAGGAGGGAGGAGGGGGGGAGGAGGAGAGGAGTGAGGACGCGGGCGCTGTCTCTTCAAAACGAGGACCCAACACCACAGGATGGTTGGGAAAAAGACACAGGGGATGTGCCACATTTCTGAAATTCGGTGGCACCCCTCACGCAGATCCGCAGGGTCAGGGTCAAAAAACACAAGGGATTTGCCACATTTCTGAAATTCGGCGGCACCCCTCACGCAGATCGGCAGGGTCAGGGTCCAAAAACACAGGGGAGTTTGCCACATTTCTGAAATTCGGCGGCACCCCTCACGCAGATCCGCAGTGCCAGGGTCCAAAAACACAGGGGAGTTTGCCACGCGTCTGAAATTCGGTGGCATCCCTGACGCAGATCCGTAGGGTAAGGGTCGAAAAACAAACAGGTCCCGACACTGCTTCACGGCGGCGCCCAAACCTCATGATCTAGCTCTTGCATCTCCCATTATCCAAGACAGGGGGCCGGCGGCATGGGGAGAAGCCCTTACGGATATTTGAACAGCGCTGAAAGCAGGCAATGCGGCAATGTGTATTAAGTCCTGAGGTTCTCCTCCTCCTCCTCCTCTTGATCCACTCATCCAATCGCCCCCCAGCCTCTACAAAGAGCCCGCTCTTTCACAACGGACCTCGGCCTCAGACCCAGGGACGAACCTAGCACCGGTAGCGAAACCGCCGCGCGAGGAACAAAAGAGGAATGAGACATTTGAGCCACCTCCGCTCCTCGTCCTCCATTTCCTCCTGCTTCCTTCCTCCCTCGGGCATTATCATTCCCACCTCCAGGCATGTGCTGCGAAGGAGCGCACTGCCAGCTATTTGAATTCAAATTCCTCCTCAAGTCTTTCCTACTCACCATCGTCTTCTGGATTCAGAACCTGCGGGTAATTGAAACATGGCCACCGATAGCCCCCATCATACGTAATTTGGCCAGCGACCAGAAAAGCGAAGCCTAGGACCTTGAAATTCGCCGGCCCAACGCGCCAGAGGCGTGCTAAAATCTCCGGTAACTGGTTAACAACATTTCTAGTTCGCGCGCGCGGAGCGGCCCCTGGGGGCCCCCGGACGAAAAGTACCTCGGCAAGGTCCCAGGAGAAGTCACCAGAGCACTCCAAGGGAGGGCCATTTTTCGACACCCCTCACGAGGATCGTGGCCTCCGAGGGGGGAGCCGCAATCGACTACCCCCCCTCCCGCCCCAAGAGGCCCCCCAAAGCCCCCCAAGAGGCCCTGGGGGCCCCAAGACGCTGCCAAGGAGCCCAAAGAGAGCTAGACGACTTGTCATCTAGGAGGGTGTCTTGACCCCTCCCCCTCCCCACTCCCCGTGGTTCTGGACGGGAGGTTTCGCGAAGGGTTAGAGCTTCCAAGATGGCCTCGGCGAGAAGGCCAACATCATTGATTTGACTCAGGTTCTGGCCACATGTTGACCTCTGGGGGGGGGGGGGGCAATGAACGAGCTCCCCCCCTTTGATCGATCTCCTCCAAGCTGGTCCCCGAGGCTCCCAAGAGTGCCCCAAGAGGGCCCCAAAGGCATCCAGGAGGCCCCAAGAAGCCCCCAAGATGCCCCCCCCCCGAA